AATATTATCCGATATCTATAGACAAATTTTAATATAAAAATCAGAAAAAATATATATATTAAAATATTTGCAGTTTTTTTTATTTCAACTTTTCTTTTTCTTTTTTACAAATTATTAATTTTTTACGAAGAAATTATTAGTCATTTGACTATATTTTTTGTTTTCACTTTTGAAAATAAAATTACAAATTTTAATAACAATTTAAATAAATAAATTACATTAAAAATTAAAATTATTATTAAATTAATTTAATAAAAATTAATTAATAATTTTTAATACAAAATAATATCAATGTAAATAAACGTAACGGAAAAAAAGCGTTAATATAATTTTATATAATATTTAAATAAGGTTTGCAATAATACTATAAATATAAAAAGCCAATTACAAATTGAAGAAAACCATTAATTAATAATATAACAATAAAAATGCAATAACAAAAAATAAGCAGAAATTGCCAATTAAAAAAAATGAAAATATAATCTATAACAAAACCATTAAATAAATTTCAATAACAATTATTATATACTAATGTATAATAACAAAATAATAATAATAGAAATTAATATAAGAAATTATAATTATTAATCTTATAATACTTATAAATATTTCACGAAGTAATGATCACTCAAATTATGAAAGTAATGAAATAAAATCATTAAATAAATTTCAGTAATAATTAACATAAGAAATTATAATTATTAAACTTATAATGAAAATTACCAAGTGTATAAAATAAAAATTAAAAAATTCTGTAATATAATATATTTTTTTTAAATAAAACAAAATAAATTCAAAATTAATATAATTTATTCTAAAAATAATGACTTAATAGAACAAAATTTAATTTTTAAATAAAAAATATTTAGAAACCTTATTCAATATAAAACGAATCAAAATCAAATAATAAAATAATTTTAAACACAAAGAAATACTAAAAAATCACATTCCATGAAATATTTATATTATAATACATTGAAAGACAAAAAAAAATTAAATAAAAATTGATGTTTGGTGTTTATATATATAGCGAAACATAAATATTTGGCATAAAATTGACGCTTTTTATAACAACCATATATATACAATTTTATTAAACATATTAAAAATATCATATATTTAATATTATCTATGTGTGTGTCTTTACGTCGCGTATACCTCAAAAACATCATCATTTTTGTATTAAAAAAAAAATAAAAATTATTGTAAAAAATAAAATCTTTCTAGAAAAACTTCTGATTTTAAATTTATATTTATATATATACACTAGCGTTTATATAAAATTTTACAAAATAAAAACACATTCTCTACTAAGCTCTAAACCTCAACACACGACTATCCCACTATTTGAAAACCCTTACCCACTAAATGTAAAAAATAATGTATGCGATATTTTGGCAGAAACAAAAATAAAATTTAATTAATGGATTATTATAAAAAATTATGTATTTCTATTTAAAAATAAAATATTTAATGTACCTTAATATTTTGTGTGCTAGTTAGTAAGTGTCAAAAGTAAAATTAATATATTTAAAATCAAAAAAAAAATATATTAAAAGAAACAATTTAGCAGAAATTATTAAAAGTAAAAACATAAAAGAATCATATATATTATTTCTCTTTCATGTAATAACTAATTATTATAAATGTTGTAAATTTGACTTAAATCAAAATATGAAATTATACATTGGGTTAATAATTTTGAAGAATAAATGTCGTAAATTATATAAAAAATATTATAAAAAATTAAAGTTTGGTATAAATATATTTGAAATATTTGACAAAAAAAAAAAATTCAAAAATTAAAATTGAATTATAATAACATTTAATAAAATGTATAAAAATCTTCAAGGTAAAACATTAAAGAACAATTTATAAATGAACATATTTATTATTAATAATTTTATTGTATTTCAAATATACAAAATATATATTATTATTATATATAACATTAGACACTATCTGTGATTTATAATCCAAAATTTTGATGAATATTTTCTGAAGAACAAAAATATAAAAAAAAACAAAACATACTATATAACACTGCATTAAAATGAAATGTTTAAACAAATCGGATCGGATAAATAATGAAACAATAAAATTATAATTAACATTATGTATACTGCTGAGTTATTATTATATATTTATATATATAAAATATTTAAATATATAAATTAACGGAAATGTTAAAAAACAATTAATATTATTGTCGTATAGCAAAAGGAAATAATCGTTTAAAATATGTGACAATTTATAAAAATTATTTAAAAAAAAACATATGTCGAACATATAAATCTTTATAAATCTATTTTGGAATTATTTTTAAGAATAAGAAAAAAATATGAGAAAAGAATGTGAAGAAGACAAAAATCATACATATATACATATATATATATAAATACATATACAAAATTATATCAACTTCTGAACACTTGAAACCACAAATCCGTATAAATCAAATAAAATAAAAAAGATCTGAGAAGAATCAAGAAATCATAAGAAAAAGCTTTGCGAAATGTTTTTTTTTATAAATGTTTATACAAAATATTTAAACAAAACATTATTTTAAATATACAAAAATGAAAAAAACATTAATATTTAAATTTCCAACAAACAATGTAAAAAAATTTTAGTAAAATTTAAAAGTGCAATTACTTAAAACTTGGTAAAAAAATTAAAATAAAATTGAATAAGTGAAATGTTCGTTATAATGAAAAATATTTAAAAAAATTAAACAAAACTTATTGATAAAAATTACGCAAAAAATAGGGAAAATTTAAAATTAAATTGAAAACACATTTGCAGTACACATAAAGAATATAACAATAATTAGAAAATCAAAATTAATAATAATAATTAGAAGAAATTTTGCAACTGATATTAGAAAATTACAAAATAATTTTATATAAAATTAATTAATTTAATTTTTTGAAATTTAATACTGTTTACTCCATTTTATCATATTTTTTTATATATGATTTTCTTACTTTTTTTATTAAAACAAAAGCAACAGAATTAAAATTAAATTTAGTTTACAACAAAAGGTACAGTACTTCATAAAGTATTTTTGTAGAAAGACATTACAGCCACAGTTTTCTATATTATAAAATATATTGCTCAGATTTTAAAATAGTAAGAGGTTGCCATATAATCAAATTATTGAAAAATTAATTTCATACTTCCCATAACTTTATTAGTTTATTTTAAAGAACGTTTTTAGCTTATTTAGTAAAATTTTTTAACGAACTTAATTAGTGAACGTAGCTTTCATAACTTTTGTTTATTAATATTTAATTTACAACATTTTTAAAAAGTTAAAAAATTTTGTATAATTCAATACATTTAATTAAGTTTTACCTTTTTCACATCAATAGAGGTATTAAATGAACCTCGGCACGGATTGTCATCTAATTACCCTTTATGTTAACATAAATATTTATTAAAATTTTTTAACTGTAATGGAAACGCCAATCTTTTTTATATATTTTTATTTAATGATTTGATGGAAGATATTATGTTCATATCGAAATACTTCATTATAAACCGAATTTGTTAATCTAAACTTAGCAGCCAACAATAGGTAAAGTCTATAAGAAATGTAAGGAAAAGAAGTGAGAAGGCAAAATTATGAAATAAATAGTACACGAAATAATCTAAGTATTTTATCATTCGCAAACTTTTTTTGTAGTACATGAAATACACAAGATCAAAAGATACAAACTATATCTTTTTTTTATTATTTG